ATAAAAAATAATAAAAAAATTATATTATACCTAATCCGAAAAAAATTCAGCTAGAGTAGCACAATATGTCTGAGCACTCAGAGTGTAATGAAGTCATAAGTTTTGCATATACAAGTATATTTCAAGTATCACTTATTAAAAGTTATTTGTAATTCTAAAAGCAATTAACGTTTGGGTAAGTAAAACCATCGTATTTCCAAACAATAAATAAATTATATTTTTTCGTATATGAACAATCCTGTAATATTATTAAAATATTTCACTAAAAAAAACATGTACAATACAACCAATATGATTAAAACCACTTACAGCTTTATGATATAAAATATTAAATTAATAAACGATATGTGTGGCATTAGATATAAGTTACTAACTAAAATGTAACTGTTACTTTCTAAAAAGTAATTCGTATAAGGCATTGTGATAATAACATATATACATACATTTTATGTACCCATTTTAATTATTTATGAAAAGTTTGTACGCAACAAATACTTATGGCAAAATGTATTTTTGTGATGTTTTAATTTTAAATTAAGTTAATTGTGATGTAGTTTATAATTTGAATCTAAAACGCTATAAAATATAAATAAAGGCAATTTTCAAATTTTTACAAAATAGAGTATTGCACTTATACCATTGTTTGACAATACTATATCACACGTTACAAAGATGTGTATACATATAGACACACCCATATACATATATATATATATATATATACATATATATATATATATATATATATATATATGTGTGTGTGTGTATATATATATTACACACAGCTATAAACACATTCATAGAAACATATACCAGCAAAAATGTGCAAATATTAAACAAAATAAAAAATATTTGTTTATAAAATTCTATCATTTGTGATGAAATAGCACTGATAAATACTATTAACATGTAAAGCACTGATAAATTGGACTAATCCAGATACTATATACATCATAATATCACTATAAAGTTTTTTTTATTCAATAAATGTGATTTTAATTATATGAAGTAAAAATTACATTTTATTTGTAATATTTACTTTCTTTTTATTTTATTAATATTTGGATTATATTATTTCTTCAGGAATAGATTCAATGTTATTTCAACAAGACATTCAGTTCTGATTTGAATCACAATTAAGTAAAAAAAAATTTCGAAATTTTCAATTCAACTGGTGAATATTATTGCAGTAATGTTTGGATAGTATTTCTTGCGTTGAAAGTATGTTTAAAAAAAATAATATTGGGTTAGTATAAGTCTTGAAACCGCCCACATCTAATCTCATTGAAATAATGGCTCACTTATAATAAAAACTAATGAATTGATTTGTTATTTAAAAGTGTCTATAATAGAATCCATCCATAATGCTAATAACATATAAATTTTAATATATAAACAGTTAAAATTTTGTGTTACTATAACGCTTAATAAAATCTTATTTTCAACTAACTGTTGAAATTTAAATATACAAAATATTTTAAAATTAAATAACTTATTCTAAAGCGTTGGGTAGTATTCTAACCATTCGCGGCTTCTTTATACATTTGTACTGTCGCGTATGTGATGTGATTGTAAGGTCTGCTAAATCAGCATAAATCTGAAAATTTGCACACTTTCTCAACAGTATTGAATAGTAATAATAATTGTATTATAAGTAATAAAATGATTATTTCAGGTATAAAAATAATGCAAAGGGAAAATTTAGCATAAAATAAATCATTCACGCTCACGATCAAGATTCAATTTAATGTATCAAACTAAGGCTAAAATTGTATTAAACGTATCAAAATAAGGCTTATAAGGCACAATTGACATATCATAATATAAATATACTTGCCGGTTGATAAATCAATGTTCTAGATGCATTTAATAATGTAACAGTAACATTAGCTACATGTGCCAAAGATGTGTGCAAATTTAAGTAGTTTTAGTAGGCCTTTATATGTGTATATGTATATGTATATAGATATAGATATATATATATATATATATATATATATATATATAATTTTTATTATTAACTTATAGAGTCTAAGGGGCTGCTACCGTTTATCTATATCTTAATGTGCTGTATTTTAATATATTAACAGTGGACGGCATTTCTTATGACTCTAAGGTTGAGGTCCTGTAGGCTGTTGCTGTGGTACGAAGTTTACGACTTCCTCATAGACATATTCTATGGAATACAGAAAATACTTTGTGAAATAAATATTGTTAAATATACCATATACCAAATCGGGACTAGTTAATTACAAATAAAAGCAAGCTAATAGAATCATAACAGCCTATATTTCTACATGATAAATGATATGGTGATGCACCAAATGGAAAGCACTAATATGTGAATAAAATATGTAACATATGTATATGCATTTAAACATGATTGATAAATAATGTTACTTGTGATGAAGTTATTAGTGAAAATTGTTAACCGTTATAAATAGATGCATAAAATATTTGTCATTAACAAAAATAAAATATATATGAAGCATGAAAGCATGAGAAAGATTTCAATATTCATTATATGTTTCAAAATGTTAATAACGATAGCAATTCCATGAAGAAGGCAGCAAATTTGGTATCACACCGATATCTATTCCAATAACAAGAAAAAAAATTTTGAACTACTATTTAACTTTCAGAAAGTAAAGTTTATGTTATAATTAGAAAATCCGATTCCTATATTTTCTAGGCACAGAAATAAAATTCTAAACTGATTTGAAAGAATAATTCAAAGATTATATTATATTATATTATATTAGATTAGATATCAATTAGAGCTCATGCTGATTGAAAAGATTGATCAATTTTTATACTACTTTTCATAATTAGCGGTTAAAAAAATATAGTTTTAATTATTCAAAAATACTTTAGATATAACTTGTGTTAAGTTTTACTAGTTAAGTTTATTATGTGATGATAAGCCAAGTAGCACCCTCAATCTATCGATATCATTTAGAGCTCATGCTGATTAAAAAGATAGATCAATTTTTATACTGCTCTTCATAATTAGCGGTAAAAGAAATATAGTTTTAAATATTCAAAAATACTTCATAGATATAATTTGTGTAAAGTTTCACCAGTTAAGTTTATTATGTGATGATAAGCCAAGTAGCACCCTTGTGTTAAAAAATAGACAAACGATTTTCTCTATATTTGCTCAAAACAGGGTTTTTTATTTTAATGAATTGATGGTTTGGTTGAATATAGGTTAGAACTAAAAGATAACTTCCAGTCAAATTTATACATTCTAATCCCATTCTAAATATGTCAACTAATAATCGCGACTAATAGTCATAGGTACAAATATCAGTTAAACCCATTCCTCATAATTAAGATGTTTTTTAACAAATTATGAAAACTTAACAATTTGATATAATTGTGATTCTTCTGTTAAAAATATCTCAACTAAATTATCTAAAACTAAAATTATTTCTTAATTCAAAAGCTATTTGCTAGTTTTCATATCTTGCTTATCAACAATTATTTTCAGACATTAAAAGTACAGAATCTCACTAATATGACACTTTGCTAGACTGATACCTCCACTAATCCGACACCCTCGCCACCGAAGCGCTGAGCAATTTTTTGGAAATTCCTCCGCTATTTCCAATAACACATATTAAAACTTATGACTATAATCCAGTAATCCGATACCCTCTGGTTTTAGGAGTGTCTGATTAGTGAGATTCTACTGTACTTGCAGATGGTCCAAAGGACATAACGCCCTTCGCACCTTGTTTAATTAATTTCTCAAATGAGAAAAAGCATTGCAGTAGTGTATATTCAAAACAAAAACGCATGCATGCCTAAGAAACAAAGATAGCTCACCTTTCCATTTCTCTACTGGTAAGTCCATGTCCTCGAAACTCTGATCGTACGGCGTTGAGACAGGTTCATCCGAGGGGTCCGCGTACTGCGTGAGGTATTTGTGCGCCAAAGCTTGTTCGGCAGTCAGGCGACGATCGGAATCGACTTCGAGCATTTTCTCCAGGAGATCCACGGCCAAGGGATTTGCACCGCGAAACACCTCTTTAAAATCGCGCTTCTTTAGTGGTGGCAGTGATTGTATGTAATTTCGAGCCTATAGTCAAAGAGATTATTATTAGAAAAGCTAGCAAAACAAAAGCACTTTTATAAGTTAATTATAATCTTAGCATATATAATTAAAATATCAAATAGCGATTGTTGCGGATGAGTTTAAGAAATCCTTTCTGAAAAAGCCGATGACATAGAATATGAATCTTGTGTGGTTCAGCTATTCATAACAATAAGTTGATTGCATCGGGATGACTTTTTGCTATCTATAATAATTTAACCTTTCCACGTTTTCAATGTGAATCCATAACAAAACCAGGATGGGACTTGGACATGAATATGTCGAGTAACATCAATTGATGCGCTCATTACAGTGCATACAAATATCTAATTATATTGTAATTCTGAAACAAGTTATTGAACTAAGTCCATATTTTGACAAAATAAATAAATTTTATAACTTATATAATTAATTCATATAATTCAGTTTCGGGAATACTAACAAGCTGTTGCTCATATAAAACTAATAATTACAACTTTGTCTCAAAAAAGTGATGTAGAAATATTAATAAATAAATAATAATAAATAGTATAAATATCTTCAACTATTGTTGAAATAAATACCATTTATTTTTTAATAAAAAAAAATGAAATCAATTGAGAACACACATTGAAAATTGGCGATTGAAAATTAACGATTCGTTCAGAATGTTTTATAGTTTATATTTATATTTATATTTTATATAAAAAAAAGGATATATAAACGATATGCACAATAAAACTTAACCAAGTTTAGAAGCAGCTTTCATTATTTTCGATGGCGCTGCAAATACAATTATAAAGATATCGAACAAACAATACGCATCCAAAGTTAATGTGTCTCATTATAATTATAATATTGACTTCTGGAGTTAATTCTAAAATAAAAATAAATTTTAAGCACTATACGAAGAGTATAGAAAAAAACGTTTTAAACATATTCAGTATCTAATAATTCATCACGAGTGTGCACTAAATCTGAGCCCACACAAAATATTTTGAACACACCATTCAATAACATATATTACTTAGTACCAAAAAATGCGCGTATTTATTTTATAAGTGTGTACATGCACTTGCCTCAACACTGGTTATTTTTGCAACTGTTTCATTATCCGGCGTTCCACACAAAACCAACACTCTGGTAAGATGATCAATATCTGCTCGCATGATTCTTAGTTAAGGTCATTCATTTCAAAAATTGCACTCAACAAACATAATTAACACAAAACGAATTAAATTTAATGATCAAACAAATTAATATTTTTTTTTTAAGAATTGATTTACATATATTCACATTCACTTCATAAAGGTCATTCCTAAAATAGCACTATTAAAGCTGAACAATGGGTTAAAATTAAACAATGTTTATTATTTTATTAATGCAAAATCTGATGAATAATAGCAAGTTCTAATTTAACTCTTTACTGTTTCTACAAATGTGAGGAAATAAATTACAAATCAATTTAACTACAAATTAGTTTCTTGTAATTCAATAGCATAGTTGATTTTTTCAAATAAGCAAATTGTAGAGAAGAGAATTAGAATAAAATAAAGCGTAATTACTAGTTAAAAAAAGAAACTTGCTATGTATTTCACATATTTACTTCCATAAATATGAAACAGTATTGTAGAAAAAATGTAAGTATATACATACACATGAAGCACATTAACCACTAGAAACTAATATCTACTAAGCACATATGAAGCGAATAAAGGAAAACTACACAACTCACCGATTCTGAAGAAATCTTCTGCATAAATTCCTCTTTTGGTGTGCCCAGTATTTCCATTATCAAATTTAATTGGTGTATATCTAAATGAGGCGATAAGGCAAAACACATGCCTGCTTGCTACATGCATAGTAAAAATTGATATCTGACACATAGATACTTTAATTTATTCGAAATCACCCTCAAACATGTAGATTAGAATGGAAGTAATTAACTAACAATAATCTGAGATCAAAAACTAAATTTCATATTATTTTGAAATTTCTAAGACAAATTTCATAAAATGACAATTTTATTCTAAAAATTGACAATATTTAGAAATGACTTCAGTCCTTCCGATCTTCAAGTAAGTTTAGATATGAATTAGATGTTGATCAAAGATAAATAACAAAACTAAGAAAGAGAAAAATGGTATTAAAAAAAACTATCAATATAAAAATCTGCTATTTTTACCAAATAATACCATTCGTTATTAATCTCTTTAATTCGAACACAAAATTTCATATTCTTTATATAGTATAACAAATCATGCCATTCACGTTTAAGTGTATCAACATGCTTAATCTTTCAATGCACATATTTAATTCACAAAAACTGTTTTTTATTATTAATCATTAATATGTTTAATGCATTGAAAGTGAAAAGAGTGTAAAAAAGTATTGAAAACATTTCATTGTACACCGAGAACTAAGAATTGAATAATGAATGACTTATCTCAAAACATGAAATAGCACATAAAGCTACATCATTGCATATGTCACAGAAAATGCAAATATGTATCCTTATCTTTTTTTATCTTTAATGTAGCACAGCATTTTATTGAGGTTTACTTCTAAACTGAATATATTAAACTATGTACGCGCTGAACTCAGGTTTGCAAAATTTTCTAGTAACCCAAACCCAAATTCTACTCAGACCTACATATTAAGGGCTTAATAATATGAATCAGTCACATCAAATATTTTGTTGGAAAAAATATTGACATTTATATTATTTAAATGTTTAATGAATTTGATGTTCAGTGAAGAAGAGATTGGATAAGCACAATGTGATGAAGTATAATGAAAAGGTTTAAATGAGCACGATGTGAAACAGTGCCTAATTTAAAAAGAAAAATGCAAAACTATTAAAATGAATGTGAAACTGTCCTATTATTCACAATTCAAAAGTATCAAGAGTAGAAAATTATTTACAAAGATTACCTGATTTTCCAATATGATTTTGTGTTAATATATATTTAACCATTTTGCACAGAACATGAAATCGTAATAGCTAAATTGAACTTAATGAAGTATAAATATTCAATCTTTCAAATATGCAAAAACATATTGAATGAATTAATGATAACACATCACACAATAATGAATTCACTTAATACAATGATCTAAAAAAAATTATAGAGCTTAATAAATTATCTATTATTTGAAAAGTTAATCAATATTATAATAAATAATATCAAAAAAGGATACGATCAGTTCCTGGGAACAATGTTCTACCAGTTAATAGTTCAGCCATAATACAACCAACAGACCAAATATCTACAGTTTGGTTGTAATGCATCCAATTAAGCATAATTTCAGGTGCTCTATACCATCTTAAAAAATGTGTGATTTTAAATATAAAATAATTGCAAATATTAAAATTAAAAATTATAAAGAAAATAGTGTATTACCTTGTGGCTACATATCCAGTCATTTCATTTTCAGTAGGTCGTGCTAGCCCAAAATCAAGAATTTTCAATTCACAATCTTCATTAACAGCAATATTTGATGGTTTCAAGTCCTAAATTTTGTTAAATTGGTTAACTCTCAAAAGAATTTCAAAACAATTTTATATTCTTGATTATTTACTGACTTGTGTAGCTGTTATTGATTCACACATAAATAATAAGCATATAAAATCAATAAAATTAATAAATAAATAGAAAAAGAATTATTGATATATATATATATAAATATATATATATATATATATATATATATTTGATATATATATATATATATATATATATATAATTAATATTTACATTAAATATGAAGTTACCCAAATATGAAATTTTAAAAAAACTTACCCTATGAATTATTCCTGCTGAATGTATATACTTTAAGCCACGCAAAATTTGATAAACAAGAAATTGCACATGATCATCTGATAACTTCTGCGTTCTTACAATATTATTCAAATCAGCACCCATGAGATGGGTGACTAAATAAACATGTTGAAAATTTTCTAATGAGGTAGATGGATGAAATACATCTAGAAGACCAATGACATTCTCATGATTCATATGCTTCAACATACGCAGTTCTCTGTAAGTTCTTTTGGCATGAACAGCACTTTGAAAAGGCCTAGCTAATTTTTTGATTGCCACTTTTACATTATGTACTGTATCAACTGCAGAGCTAAGAAAAGATTTAAAATAAATATTGCATTGTAAAAAGTAGGGTCTAGTAATACAACACCCACACATACAAAACTGATATAGACTTAAAAATATATGTATATATGTATTTAGTAATTTTTGAGTAAAATATGACATTATAACAATTCTAAAGCTGTGTAAATAAACCATGGTTCAAACATAGATATTTAAACCCAATAAAATAGTATGATAACGTATTTTTATTTAGTACAACGTGAAACAACCATAAGTACATACCAAACTTGTCCATAAGCCCCAGAACCAACTGGAGTTAACATTTGATATCTCTCTGGTATTTCCCATTCTGTTTTGTTGATTTCTATTTTATAGAACTTCGGCATAGTTACAATTCACGAGCACAAATTATCACACTAAATCAAACTATTAAATCAAAGTTATCGCAGTTTGCATACGAATACCATTCAATACCATTCTCTCTAAAAATATACGAAATGTCATAATGCAATACGATGCGAAGTTAATGTGGAACAGAAAGTGAATGTTGCACAATGTCAACGTACCAACATAGAATAGTGATTATTTTAATAATAAGGAAACCGAACAGTACCTGTTCCCATAGATATATACATAGATAAACAAGTATAAATAGATAGCTATGTCGGGCGATTTGACGTTTCATCGATTGAAGTGCGGAGCTAAGATTATTGATGGCAGCACATGTTCATTTTGTAAATTAACCCCTGGTATTACTTCTACATTTGTACATATAATCATTACAGCCAAAAAATCTAAAAAAATTTTAAATATATACTTAAGTGTTCCGGTTCAATTCCGCCTGTTTTTGTATCAATTATTCAACTAAACTACGTGATTGAAAAATATGCATATAAGAAAAATCGACTCGTTATCTTATTTCTATAATAATTTACATTCTATAGAATGACTTGAGAAATCAGTTATTGTTACATGCAGAATATAACAAAACGTGTATTATGAAAAAACAATGGGCCAAATCATAAAATCTCAAAAATAATTAAATACTGATTTAATTCATGCATTTTTTAACTGCTAAAATTCTTACTCTACTCTTTTCTTCGATTTTAATAAAACTAAGTCAGGATGTTTCATTAAAACAACTGGGATTGAGTAGTTACCCAAACAAAACCGCAAATTATTTTTCAGAGTCACATGCTCATGCACAATTACATGCTCTCCTGTATACACATACATAAGAAACAATCAATTAGGATTGTATCGCGAATATTTGGTTACTATTTGGTATTCGGCATATTTGGCACGTTTTTTTATATTCGGCCGAATACCGAATAGTAACTTAATATTCGGCCGAATACCGAATAGTTAAAATCAAAGGGGCCGCCTTTATGCGATAAAGAGCGATGGATTTGTATTTAGTTTATATAATATGATATAAAGGAATTAATTCGTTATTGTATATATAATAATTTAAACTTTATAGATTTTTGACATTATAAATGATCACGTGAAGAACTTTTTTCAGAATATTCACAAGATACTTTATTGTTACATGTTTATATTATTTAATATGAATCATTCAATGGTAACACGCATGTGTTGTATCAGTACAATAAAGTCATTCATTACATGAAATCTAAGCATTTTCAAATAAAGAGCTATTATTTGATCATTTTTTATTTATTTTGTTGTGATTAGCCTCCCTACTATATATAAAATAATATTGAGTTTATAAAAGAAAATATTAAATATTTATGAAAGAATTAATTAGAAATACATTTACATATATATGTTTTTTTTTTTTTTTTTTTTGTTACAATTTATTTTTGTTAATCAAGACTTTACATATATATGTAAATGTATTTCTAATTACTTCTTACATATGTATAAAAAATTGCTTTTTTCATATTTTACCATTTATTTCCCCATCACATGTGGTATTCAAGTATTCGGTATTTGGCCAAATAGCATAAGTGGTGCCAAATATTCTAAATAACAAAGAGTAGCCGGATAGTGGTTGCAAGTCATAAAACTTGAATAAACTTATAGCGCGTTAGTAATATAACAATTACTATTAAAACAAACGAGCTCAGACACCAAAAACCTGCCGAATAGCATGCCGAATATTTGGTATTCGGAATTTTGCCGAATATACTAATCGTTGCAAGCTTACAGACAATATTACCTTAACTATATCTAGAATATTTAGAAAATCAATAATACTAAAAAAAAAAAAAAAAATTGAATTATATGTAACAAGAAAATAACATAGGATTTACTATATCAACAAAAATCCTTTATTGAACGTTTTAAATTAAAATTTATAAAACAATATTTGACAATTTAATAGTGAGTAAAAACGCCAAAACGGATACCAATATTTTTAACATATATGCAGTTAATTGTATATACAAATGTATATACATTACTATATTACACATCATTATATACATACATAGATCTAGACACAGGCACATAACACACACACATTTGTATTTATGTGCATGTGTGTGTATGTATATATATATATATATATATATATATATATATATATAAATATATATATACAAACATACACACACACAATATGCATACATACATTTATACATGTATATATTCATATTTATACATATATATGTATATATATGCATATATAATAAAAACTATATTAAGCACTTATTCACATGAACACGTATGTATGTAGAAGCTTATGTTGACATTAAATTTTTTAGATGCTGTGTAATTTCAACAGTGTCAACATTAGATTTATCAGTTGTGTTCGAAGCTGGCATTTGTGCCAACCTAGCACAAGCCTTCTTATGCATGAACCAATGTAATCGTTGACATTCACGATCACAATACTGAACAGCACGACATTTTGAACACTTTTTTGCTGGTTTCTGCAATCCACAAGTGAAACATGTAGTTACTTCATCATTAAATGCGCTATGTCCATTTATGGCACCAGATAACACTGTTAAAGCTGGAGGAGATTCTTGGCCGGCTAATGTCATAACAACCTATTTTTTTTTATTAAAATGAATCATTCATTTAATTGAAAATTCAGTATAATGCATTTTTGATAGTATACCTGTCGAAACGTAGCACATTCTCTATTTGGAAATTCTCTTACACATTCTCTAATAAAGTTTTCTTGGAATTCTGGGATTCCTATGAAAATATAAAAAAAGCAATTTCAGTGGGCTGCATGCATTCAGAAAAACAAAATAGTGTGAATAAGGTTTGATTCGTGTTTTCCTAACTAATCATAAACAGTAGTTACAAAACATGATCTAAATAAATAAATAAATAAACATATATATATATATATATATATATATATATATATACACACATACATTTATTTAAATGTCTGAAAGCTTTAAATCACAAAAGACTGCAGTATGTTGGAAAAATTTAGTATTAAAAATGGAAAACAAATATTCAAGGGAATTGGAATACATTGATACCCGGAATAAATTTATGCATTTCTATGATCACATTTCAAGCTACAGAACAAATTAATTTTATTTTCATGTGTTTGTATGGAAATTTTTGCACAACAAACGGGTATCGGTGTATATAAAAAATATTACAATAAAGAATTACTAACCCTCTTTATTCGTTTTCAATAATTTTTTTGCCATTAACTCAACAATATCTGATGCCTTTTTCTCTGGAGTTTTGGATTGCCTATCTAACATTTTTTGAACTTCTTGTACAATACAACCCAAATAATGAAATTTCAAAGCCATCATTTCATTACATTCGCCTCCCTTCTTCATTTCTTTTTCCGAAAGCATTTCTATTGTCTTTCGTACAGAATTTAGATGTTCCATAAGACCTGCATGCTTTTGCAGAGACTGTACTAGGTACACAGGATGTAAATTTACCTTAAATTAAAGTTGCAGTAATATAAGGAATATTTGAAATGTTATTTAGTAGTTGCCAAAGCAATACATACAGACATTACAAACTTGTGCAATGGATCGGCCAATATAGGTAATAATGTAGGTTCCGTTTGTAGACCTTGAGCAGTTGTGTAATACATTATATCCGATTTGGGAATGAAATTATTAATTACAGCAACGCAATTATGATTGTTCACGAAAGCAGCCATCTGGGAAGCAGTTCTTCCAACAGAATTTACAGTGGATATTTTTGCTCCAGATAGTAAGAGAACTTGGCAAACCTCTGCATTACCAGATAATGCAGCAAAATGAAGAGCTGTATAATTACTGGAATGCTCGCAATGGTTAACATCAGCGCCCTAGTGAAAAGTATTTCTTAATCATAAAAAAAAGTAATTATTTTAAATGAGACAAAGATAAAGTATATACTTGGTCAATGAGGGTTTTAACAACTTCTAAATTTCCCTTATATGCCGCATGTTGCAAAGGACTCATACCATTTTCATCGGTAAAATCTACAGAGCCCTTCATTTGCGCTAAAAGTAGTTTCAATTCGGCATTGTCCGAATTCGCAATTTTATCAAAGATTTGCTTCTGAGTTTCATCATTGGCTTTTTTTTCTGTTGCTGACATCTTGGTTTGATGTAAATGTCCTGAGAATTGCCCTAATGTCAAGTAATAAGTAAATTTCTGCGAAAGTTGTTAAATGAAATGCAACACTATCAGCATTATTCGAACATAACCTATCACAAATGTTACAAACAAAGTTATCGTAATCAAGGGATATTCACCATAATCAGTATTTTTTAAGCAGCGTGGTAGACGCAAAGCCCACCTGGCGGCATTGGCATGCAACAGATTTCCATGGTTTTAAAGTTAAATTTAAATCATGATTTAACAATTAACTAGTGGTGCATGGCATCGTGCCTTAAGGCAAATTGCTGGAACTTCCCGTACAAGTAATCAGGGAAAAAAATCAGTAATCAATAAATATTGATTAATGATTAATAAACAATTGTCTTGAACATTTTCAAATAGATAATTATAATCACTACTTATATATTTTATACTTCATAAAATATACAATAAAAATCTTATCGCTCAAACACTTGAGAAAGTTTACATTAGCAAGAGGTGCCGAATGAATTCATCTGAGGATATATTTTTTACAATTAGAATAACGCATCTGAAATATACACATTTTCAAACTGAATTGTAAATTTAAAATTCGTATTTGAAGTATATAACTTTGTATATTTTTGAAAATTTTCGAAAAAAAAAAACTGAAAATTTTGAAATTTGCTTGAACCGTATAAGTAAACTTTAAAAATTAACAATCTTGGTACAGAACCCAACAAAATTGTAGCAAAATTAGTACACATTATCAAAAATGTTATCAAATATTTGATAATTTAATGTTCATATGTCTAATGATCATTTAGCCGCCCGCCAAATATCATTTTTTTTACTTTTTTCTCTGTATCTTCGAAACCGCTAGACCTGCCTTACCAAAACTTTCATCAATTCTTCATTTTGTCAAAACATGTTTTTTTTTTGAATCATTCAAATCGGGAACTCCATTCTCACAAAAGCTGAATAACCATTTTTAGCACTTTTTGCCTCGTATCTTCGAAATGGCTGGACCTGTCTCCACCAAAAACTAATCAGCACGTCTTCTCATCAATAGGAATCGAATATTTTTTGATTCATTCAAATGTACTTGATTCGTGCACACGAAGTCGTGGACGAAAAATTCAAACATACATACACACACACACATACATGCATTTTTTCTGAGGTATGCCAAAATATTCAGAAACCTTTGAAAAGTAAAGATATATAATAATTTTCATTTTCGATTTTTTTGCGATTTCTATAAGTTACCCTAAAGGAAGTTAATTATGAAACATTTATGACATAAGATGTGTACATACCTAACAATGGTTCCCACAGCAGCAATCACAAAAAAAATGTAAGAAAACATTCAAGAATATACATAACAAATAGAAGTATTAAATTAACATAATCTTAATAACTCATACATCAGTGTCATTTTTTAATAGAAAAATGTGTCTACACAGCCAATTTTTGCCCACAGAGGATGTAAAAGTTATAGTTGATAAACAAAAGAAGATAGATTACACTACACAGATAAAGATATATCAACAAAATCTTTTAACAACAACTTTGCATTAGACAATCGAATATGCACACATACATACTTTATGTTTATATCATAAATTTATGCATGTACCTAAATAAATAAATATATATGCACATACTAAAATAATTTAACTGTTTTTTAACTACGAAAGGCATTATGGGTTATCAATAATTTAACAGAATTAAATTTTGTTTCAAATGCTAACTAACAAGTGATTTATTACTTATTCCTTAGACAAAGAATTTATCAAAGCAGAAAACAAAAATGCATTTAATATCACTATGTATGTAAATAAAACATCATAAAGGATTATAGTTTTATTTCATATTTCGTACAAATTATTTCTTAGCTTTCTTTCCCTCTTTGCCTACTTTTGTTACGTCATCTGGGTTTTCAGCTGCATCTTTAACCCTCTTTTCACGAATACCAACTAGGCGCTGATCAGCACGAGCCTGTGGATAAATATGGGTTAGTAATGAAAAAAATAATCAGGTAAAATATTATATACCTTGTTGCTTATGTTATATTACCTAAAACTACAAATTGTATTTTATACCTTGCATGACGAATATAAATCATTAAAGATGTAATAATCTAGATTGAAACCTACCTTTCTTAAAGTGGTGAAAGCTGAGAATTTCTTTTCATCTTCAGTAATGACACGAGCTTTAGATTTAACTGAAGTTTGTTTAATTGGCATCACGACGCCTTCTAATTGAGATGCAACCTAAAATTTTAATATAAACAAAATTAAAATAGACTATTATACAATATACTGAAACAAATTTAATAGAAGAATATACCAGAAACCATCAATATAATCTCTCCTTATACAATATCTATATATTGTATAAGAATTTTACTTTCATATGATATAGAAATCAAACTCACATGGAAGCTACAAAAAGGCTAATGGTAAAAAAATTGTCATTTTGATGCTCAATTGCCAGATTTTTTGTCAGTGACAGCTTTTGTAGCTTCAAAGCTAATAAGCTCTAAACCACTTGAAAACACATACATAACATTATAAATACTATGTGCTAACAAGACAAGTGACAAAAAAAAAAAAACTAAAACCCTATAAGAGGATGGTCATATTTGCCACCTGATAAAATTGTAAGTTATGCAAATGAATCCTAGTAGGGTGCCAAATAATGCATAATTATATGTGAAACAAAAGTTTCACTATATTTTTACCTTGCATTCCTCTTCAGTTGCTTCACCCTTATGCAATTTCTTTCCACCTCTTGGGAACAAGATCAATTTAGATCTGTATTCCTTTAATCTTTGTATATTCTGTTGTAAAGATTCTACAGATTTATTACGACGTCTAACATCTAATGCAATGCCAATCGAGCGAGCAAATCCTGCATTCAAACCTGCTCCCTGAAATGTAACAGTGTAAATTAATCAATTTGTTGAAAAATTGATTATAAATATGAAATATGTAACTAGAAGTAAACAATAGTTTCACCCCTTGAAATTGTCAAAAAAAATAATGCATAAAATTAGTAAAGATTTAGTTAAACTTACATATACTAAAACATCTTAAATGTATTGATCAATAATAAGTTTCATTACATTACCACAAAAAACATGAAACTATATCTCAAAACTTAAATAATTGCAAATAAAAAGGAAGAAAAAAGATTTGATAATTTTGTCATAGCAGAAATTAAACACTAAATGCAACAAAAAATAAAATACAAGGGTGGTCTAAAAACTTTCTACACATTTCTACTTGAAAATAAAATTGCACACAACCAGTTGCTAAAAAAGAAAATCGCAACAAACCAGTTTCACTGAATATAAAAACTGTTAAGTTCTGAAAGTTTTCAGACTACCCTAGTGATTATTTGAAAGAACAAAAAGTATGTGTGTGCACTCACTTCGTGGACAGTAAAAGTAGTATATGGGTTTTCTGAAGGCACCATGAAATAAATCAGCCTATTCAGAATTGTTCACTTTCGTATTGCAATTAAATGAACAGTGTGCCATATTACAAAATTACACTAGTTCAGTAATATGCATTAGTCAAGTAAGTGCAGAAAAGTTGAACGTCGATAGAATCGCAAGTGCCATTACTCCATGTCAACATTTGTCGAAACTTACCCTGATTTCTTCGAGGGTAAAACCTCTGCCAGCTCGAACCTTAGTGTGGTACCGCACTGTGGGGCAATGCACAATTGGTCTGAGGGGCCCAGCAGCAGGGCGAGGGAACAAGGCACGAGCTTTTTTAATCCTGTTTTGACGTCTTCGAATTTTCCTTGCGGGCTGGTTAAACCAAGTTTTCACAAAACGTTGCCAATCTTTGTGGAAGTGCCCATTAGGGATCATATTATTTCCCTTACCCATCTTGGATTATCTAAATTGAACGTGTAAAACAATATTAGTACATCACTTTTGTAACATATTTATTGAGGTTAAGTCACTATTAGTCAAAATACATTTTAACTGAAACTAATTGTGGATTTATTTATACTCGTAATAACTACACACTTCAAAATTAATAAAATTCTGCACAGGATGATAAAGATTTTAGAAGATACGAAAATATAAAAAATCTTGTACCTTTGCTCCACTAACACACCGGAAAAGAACTTAGAAAAGAAACACCAAAGTGTTGTTCGATAAATGTGCGATGTTAGACGCGAAGTTAGCTGAATTACAACGTGGGTCGCGTTATAGTAGCATGGCAACCCTAAAGCGCCATACACACAGCGCACGGTGCTCAACAAACGGGTCTGTTCGCAGTGAGCAGTTTGTGACAGTCCACAACTCTTCCAAACTCATTCTGATTTGTTACACTGCGCATGCGCCATCTCATGACAGTTTCCAACGGTTTGACAAGACGGTTTACATCGAACGCGACGAAACTGCCGAGAGTTCATTCGCATGTCTTCGGTATAGTTCGTTTCGTGTTTCTGTTTATTTGCTCAGTTTGAGTAAATGAAATGTTTAATGTGTTTTATGGAGAGAATTTAACATAATGAGTGACAACGAGTTTTTTTATGATTTTTTGCAGAACGATGAGGAGGAGTTAGATTTATTAGAGTTTGTTCAAGTTACAAAAAATGAAGAATATCTTGGTAAGTATCAGTTATTATAATTAAAAGAGGTTAATATAATATAATATTCCATAAGTGCAATTTAATCATTTTATAGTTTTATTTTGACAGAAAAAGTGGTGCCATTGTTTGATGACATACAATTTCTCGAGCACTTCAGAATAAGCAAAACAACGTGTTCTAATATATCAGAAATATATGAAGATAGTAAATATTATAACAAAATTAAATATGGACCATTCGGAAAAATCTGTGCATTTAATCAGGTAAAAAATGTACTATAATTGACAAACCAGTAAAATCATAATTAATTACATATTATTTTAGATACTAATATTTTTATGGTTTGCGGGACACCAAACATCCAGCTACAGGGATGTCAGTGATCGTTTTAATATAACGTTAAGTACTTTACATGGAATAGTGCAAAGGGTTGCTTTCTTTTTAAGCAATTTATCCCCAAAATTTATTAAATGGCCGAGTGATGAGGAAAAGTTGGTGATTGCCGCAGAATTTGCTAAAAATGATTTTCTAAATGTAATTGGTGCAATTGACGGTTGCCACATTCGAATAGATAAACCGATAGAGGATCCAAATTCATATATGAACCGAAAAGGATTTTATTCAATTCATGTACTGCTTTTTATCTACTTGCATCTATATGTGTTTTACAGTATTCCAGTTTACAATTATATGTATTTTACAGATTCAGGCAGTTTGTGATGACCAAAAGAAAATTATAGATGTGTGCATTGGAAATCCTGGTTCTGTTCATGATGCCAGAATATTTCGAAAATCAAAATTGGGCTCAAATTTAATTCAAAAATGTGGACATTTTATTTTATTAGGAGATAATGGCTACCCACTAAATGCAAATTTGATGACACCTTATAAGAATACTCATGGCCTTACAGTAATTCAGAAAAATTTTAATAAAAAACTCAGCAGTAATCGAATTAAAATTGAGCATACATTTGGCATGCTAAAACAAAAGTTCAAACAACTATATCATTTAAAACTAAGAAATATAACTCTTATTTCTCACTTTATAAGAGCTTGCTGCGTTCTATATAATATGAGTCTCACTGATGAATTTGAATATTTGCAAATGGAAGATGAAAATAATGAGACATCAGATGATGTGGCAGATTCTGATCCTTATTCAACAGATGCTTCAATATTACGGGATCAAATTGCAGCTAATTTACCATTATAGGCCTAATTAGGCAAAACCTACATTATTTATGTATTCATTAATTTATTCATAAGCACGTCTTAATAATAATAATAAATATTATTTCATGCTCTTGTCAAGTACTTATAATGTATTATTCTGTGAATGTTCTGTATTGAAAAAAAATTAAATGAATTAATAAATTAAAGTCAGGCGTTTATATTGGATAATGATTTATTTATATTTATTGCAAATTTATGAATATTATTTTATTTTAGAGCACTCCATATTTTTGTTTTAAAATTGCCAATTTTTCTTCTTCTATTTGTATTATTCTTTCTTGAAACCTCAACCGGTCTTCTCTCATTTTCTCTAAAATACTTTGCCTTCTACGGCGCTGCCTCCTCCTTGAAGTTTCAATAATTTCTCTAACTTCATGTGCACTTTCATCCCGCGCTTGTTGGTTGTGTGGAATGTTTTCTATTTCTTGTACATCATTTGTTTCCAGTATGCAGACTGGATTTATATTGTGGCTATTGCCATATATTTCATCCAACTCTTCTGCATACTGGAAACTGAAATTTCCTTCCCCTATTAGACATAATTGTTAATATGTATAAAATTATTTTATATATTTATATCATTATTCGTACCAGTAGCTCGACTGTCGACATATTTCTTATAATTACGTTGCAGCACTCTCCAACGATTCTCAATGTTGCCTTCCGTAAACGTAGTTCCAAATTTATTATTCATGTCAGCTTTTATTACAATCCACATTGCCTTGATTGTTCTTATTTCTATTGACCCAACATTCGGTTTATATTTTTTAAAACATTGTATTAAAAATGCTGTTCTCTCATTAGACCAAACAGCATCTTGAACACCTACGGCTTCATCAGGAAATATTAAAAATTCTTCTAGTTCTATAAAATAATATATATTTAGTAAAATGAGAAATTAATAAGCACTAACAATTTATTATTATAATTATATATATATATATATATATATATATATATATATATATATGACTTTGAAATATGTTTATAAAAGAAAAATACATGTAAATTAAAAAATATTTTAAAAAATTAAATTAAAGAAGATTTTGCATTTACTTTCTTTCTTTTTTCGACTTGTGGCTGAAAAATTTTAATAATATATATTTATTTAATATATATTTATTTATATTTATATATTTATATTTATATATCAATATTATTATTATTATAATTACCTTGATTCATAATTTTATAATTATTAACATTTTCACATAAAATACGTATAAACTCTATAACTTGGAATATCCTTTCGCACAAAACACTATCGATAAGAAAAAAGTTTTTGAAATTCGGGTCTTTTCTCGTTTTGAATGAATAATTTGATTGTAAATGCATTTTGATCGCACAGAAGATAACAATAATAGTCACAATAGTCAAAAATAAACAAAGCTACAAAGTAAGCCTATAACGCTCAGATTAAAATTTGAAACCGTCAGACACCAATACATAGACAATAATACCAATTCTCGCAGTCACGAATCGACAGTCACAAACTGGTACAAACGCATCAAACCGAGCTGACCGAACGCGTAGATAAAAATCCACGACAGTTTGGGATTCAGTTTGGACACATCGAACGGTCAAAACGATCTGCGCATGCGTCTGACGGTTGTGTACTGTCGGCGACTGCACATCGAACAAACCCTTATTCTATTAAGCTTCGTAAGTAATTTTTACATTGTTTCCTTATCCGGTGGTTGAATAAAACAATTTTATACATTTCGACGAAATTATCTTTTACTATATTTTCTTTTCCGAATTCGACAAAACACATAGATTTCGATTACAATTGTGGAATATTACTTGCACAATTTTTATTTTTGTCGGCTTCCGTTAGTTATCAATTAATAATTCAAATTCAACTAGTTGTGTATGGCATCGTGCCTTAAGGCAAATTGCTGGAACTTTCCGTACCGTAACGAAATGTTCGAGGAATATTAAATGTTTTCAAATAGATTATTATAAATACTGTAACATTGTCGAATATTTATAAGAATTATATAAACTGAATTGCAAAGTTGAAATTATTTATTTGAAGTATATTAGAACTTTAGTCAGAATTAAAATTAAAATCTGAATTATTTTCGATATACTAAAAAATTGAACCAAAAACATGTTTTTCCAAAAGCATTAATTTGTTAAAACAAGCAGAAAGTTCTTTGAATCATTCAAATCGGACACTTAGTTTTCTCCAAAAAACTGCCATTTTTTGCACATTTAGCTCTGTATCTTCGAAATGGCTGGACCTGCCTTTGCCAAAAACTAATCACCTTTTCTCCCAATCATTACAAATTGAATGCGTTTTTTAGATCATTCAAATCGGATACTCCGTTCTCTCAAAAACTCGATTTGTATTTTCTGCACTTTTTGCTCCGTATCTTCGTAACGGCTGGACCTGCTTTGCCAAAAACTAATCAGTACATCTCTCACGGGAATCGAATGTTTTTTGAACCATGCAAATCGGCTCATCCATGCGCCCGAAAACGTGAATGAAAAAATGCGGACATACAAAACACACACACACACACATCCATTTTTTCTGACGTATGCCAAAATGTTCAGAAACTTTCAAAACGTGAAAATATGCAAATATTTTTATTTTCGATTTTCGGCCCATTAATATAATTACCCTACGGAAAGTTAATTAATAAAACAACAAACAATAAATTTTTGAGCATGCTTGAATATTTTTATACTAAATATATAGTTTTGGTTTGCATATACACAATATTCTTTAAATAATCAGAAACATAAAATTTCAGTAAGCAGAAAAGAGATAATTTCAATTATTGCATAATTGGTCAAATCGTTAAACAAAACATTTTTTGCTTATGTCTTCGCAAAATATACTTAACGGATTTTCCAAATACGAACTAGTGAAAGAGATTATTTTTTTATGTATAAAAATATACATATTCAAAGTATAATAAACGCAAATTTTCTTAAATATTGTTATAGGCCTGTGAAAAGTAGTTTGAATATATAATTTACTAGAATATTACAAAAATTATAAAAACTTGATAAAAACAGAATATTAAATAAAAATCAACATAAACATTTTTTGATATGGAAACCAAATGAAATCTAACTAAGCAAAATATAACCATCAAATCTCAGCACACAACGCAATCCATTTTTTTTCAAATGTATTTCAAAGTAATTTTACACAAAATTTCACTATAAATCTTTTCACACAAAATGATCTATTCAACCCCTTAACTTACAATTTAGATTCGAAAATGTTGGGCCAAAGTTGCACAAGCTAATGCAATTTTTGTGACTATTTTCTCACACAGTGCACAGTTTATCACAAAAGTAAAAATAATTGTCTGTTTTATAGTTTCATGTAAATAAATAATTTGTAATACTTGAGATTACCATACTGGACAATGTCCATAATGCAACACCTTCATGCAGTTCAGATAATATTACAATCATAATTTTGCTGTAAACGAATCATGTTTATTGCATTCACCATGTAATACATTGCTGATTTGTTAATAATTTAATTTGTTAGTAATTTACATATTGGTAATGCATAATTGTTAATAATTTATATATAAACTGTTGTTTCTATTTTTCATATCCTATGTGTATTGTATATATATGATCGAAATCTTCAGGTATTTTTAGCTGTGCCCTGTTTATTGGTTATTTGAAACTTAAATTTAAAAAATAAACAATAACGAATCATGTCATAGATAAGGAAGTATAATATGTTTAGTGGTAATATTTTATTATTGTAGTAATGAATAAAATAAGAGAAGTGTGTATTTTAATTCTTTATTATTTACAGATCTTTACACATAAAAGTTTCATACACAGGACTTAACAAAGAAAATAATTATATGTATGTATATTTTACTATATATTTATATATATATATATATATATATATATATATATACATAATAGATATATGTATACACACACATACAGATATAATGATGATTATTACTATGACATCTTAATTTTAATGAATTAATTTCATATATCTCTGTTTAATACAATAAATAAATTATAAAATGATAAATTTAAAAATAATGATTTTGATTATATATATATATATATATATATATATATATATATATATATATGTATATACATATGTATATAAAAAAAGATAAATTAAATGATAAAATATTATTTAAAGAAACATGAAATTATGTATTATAATAAGTGATGACATGCTTTTAGTCCAGTTGAAGTTAATATTCAAATGTAATTCATTTTAAATCTTTATGGTCGTATAAAACTTTAGTAATTTTTACTTGCCAATGTTTTATGTAGATAAATAAAGATAAAAAACATGTCATAGTCTAAAACACATAAACTTTTTATATCAAACACAATCAAAATACATGACATTTATCATTCACACAACTACTAAAATTATGAGAAACTATTATATGAATATGTGATATATTTATATAAATCTATTTGAGACTAAGTTTAAAATAAATATTTACATTATTACGTTATTGATGGCATGTGTTATAAAAATATATAAGAAATAAATTGATTTACCATAATAAAATAATATTATGAAATGGAGTTCATACTAGACCATTTTAGATAAGCATTGTGATGTTCAGAACCCCGCCGAAATAATACAACGCAATTATAAATGATTTCAATTATTAAGAAAAATAAATTACTTTCGTATCAATAGATTTTCTTAATTAGCATATTCTTTAACTCTTTAGCATTATAACTATAAAAAACTTATTATGCTATACTATATGTAATATTCATAATACTTAACTAAAGTGACGAGATTTACTATGTATGACAAAACATGGGAAAAACAATTTAATAAATAAATATTTTTAAACATAATATTATTGACAGAGTTACGCAAATAATGTACAATTATTACTCAAAATGCTTTGTAATTATTTTTGTTCTGTTCTAAATTCAAAATATCATTTTAACCATAGGTACCATCTTATATTAATAAGCCACTAGGACTCTTAACCTATACAGAATATTATATAGAGTTGAATTTAACAACAAATAAATAATAGTTCAAATAAAACTTATATCAGTAAACAGCATTTGCTAGCAGCATTTTTACTTATTCAAAGACTTGAGTGATTCTGACACGATATCAAATCTACCAGTCGCTAAATAATATTTCATGACATATAATATAGTTACTGTTTCATTAAACAATTATGAAATGCATACAAAAACATTTGTGCCCAATTGTCAAACTTCAAGTCCTTTGCTAAGTACTGCAAAGCACAATATCATGTAGTTCTGTGCATGATTCCTGATCACAGATTCTTTGTCAATAAGTGCATAATTGAGATATTAGGCTGGTACAAAAGTATTGATAGTGGATGTCAACTGAGAATCCCCGATAACGGATAGCACAGCCTCTCAGGCATAAAACTCACGGTTATTAGAATTCTTAGCGTATGTGTTGCTGGCTGGTGAGCGTTTGGGCTCCTCTAAGGCATATGAGCCTTCGTCTTTCTTACGCATTCTGTATACTATGAACATGACTACCAGTATCGCGCATAACAGACCGACTACGGCTCCACCTATCACGGCTGCGAACAAACAGAATAAAAATGTTAATATCAGAGGATCACCCAAGTTATAACAAGCATATTATACAACTTCAAAAAATCTATTTGCTTACTGCATGATTATTTTTACTAAATGATTGCTAAATGATTATTTTTATTGCAGTTGAATATATAAGTAGAAATATGTAATCCTGAATCACAAACAATTTAAAAAAAATTGAGAAAAAAAATTTGTGTGAAGTCTATAGCATGAAAGAAGTAGTAAAGTTTTCAATTTATTCACATTAGAAATATGAAGTTTTATAGTTTAATTTATAAATTAATGGAAATATGCTATAAAGAATTAACCCTTTCACTACAGATGCTGACCACGGATGACATCCGCGTGATGTGCTGTGTGTACGGATGTCGTCCCTGGACGACATGTTATGTTTGCCTTTGCTTCAAGATTTATCACTACGAGTTGAAGTATCGAGAATTCTAGTTTCTTATTGAAATTTCTAGTTCATTATAAGCGTAATTTTTTCATGTTTCATTGTTTATGATAGAAATATGTTAAAATTAATCGTTGTGCCTGTCCGTTCAGTAGTGCGACTGAGTGGCACGCTGTCACCGTACAGCAGCGACTTTTGAGAAAAGCACACCCATAGCGAAAGGATTAAATAAAAATAATTTTAATGCTAAGAACATTTTGTAGCTGGACCGAATCATTGTTACATGCTATGTATCAAATATTGAGCTAAAATACTAGACAATTACCTTATAACATCAGTTATATGATTTAAGAGATATAGCAATATTTCCATAGATAAAATATTATTATCTGTGGGCAATATGTTTAAAATAAAATTAATATATTATATTGTTTAAACATGTTTACAAATAAAATCTCTATAGATTTGTGATATAAATATGTATGTAGCTGAGAACAAATATTAATTTCAAAATGAAAGGAAAACAGTTGTGATCGGCTGATCACAATTATAGTCATTTAGCTGGAAACTTATTACAGCATATATTTGAAATTTATGACCCTAATGATTTCACGTAGCAGCAGCACTGAAGTGCCAGAACAATGAATAGAGCCTTACCAGCCAATATGCCAGGTTGGGCGAAGAAGCTGGCCGAGGGGTCGACCTGTTTGGGGTCCATGACGAACACCTCGTTCCCGTTTTGGCGGACGTTGTCGTTATCTGTCGCACTGGGGTTCGACCCCACGCCAGTGTTCGCAGAACCAGATTCGATCAGTTCGATCTCGTTATTGTCGTGAGTTGTAGGCAATTGACTGTTTGTTCCTTTAACGTTTTCCTTAGTAAGAGTCGGTTCAATGTCCTCGTTTTTAACTGTAATGCGAAAATATGGATATTAATTTCATGTATTTAGAACCACAGTATGTAGCGTATTTTAGATATATCGTTATCAATTTATATTATATATATGCATCTAAAATATTTGGTAATATTTAAGGTAATAAAACTTTTACTTCTCATATAATTATAGAAATACATAATTTAATTACGTAACCATGATAACAGATAAATGCATTTGCAGTAAGTTGCATTTTCATTTATGTGAGATGTTGGCAATTACTTTCACATCATCCTAACGATAAGTTAATATCCTGACACAAAAAATAAAATTATCAACCATTAATTATCTCGCCCAACACTTATTGTTCCTGGGTATTATATCTGTATCTATCACAAGAAACATCATAAAACAGGGAACTAACATGCATAATAACTTGGTTAAATTTTAGTATACATGTATTCATTACTTCCATTAGATGTACTTTCTTCAGCACCAAAACATAAAAATAACAAGAACAAAGAATACTTTCTTCAGCACCAAAACATAAAAAATAACAAGAACAAAGAATTGTAGATTGGGCTTTGGTTTCAGTTTTGACGACTTTACCATGCACCCATAAGTTCTGAGTCATCAGTTATGATATTTTATTTTAGTAAATCAAGATCAATGACGTTATTATTAAACAGCTCTGCAAAAACAGCCAAAAGGTAATACCGAGACACAATTCTCGTATAAATTAACATCCTTTCAAAATTTCAAGTAATTATTTAACTGTTCGATAAAAAGCATGTTCATTCCAATCCGCCACATGCACATAAAATGCCATTTTCTAAATTATGTATCTGGTCTTCAATTGTCTTATTGAGGACTGAGGAATTGAAACATGTAATTATATAATAAAATTTCCCCGTATTAAAAAAAACTATTTCCAAAATAATTTCCTTTCACTTGCAATATCGATTAACCACCATAATTATGAAAATCTGTATCAACAACAATGAAAATATGTAATGTATACATATAAAAATAATATACATTTTATATAATTGAATTCTTATTTTATAGAGTGAATCAATTTGACAAGCAAAACTAACATATATCATATATATAAAAATATTGTAGTAGTTACTGCATACAATAAAATTATAATTATTTAATACTTGACTTCAACGAGTATTGTGCTAGGTGACAGAGCAATGTGCAGAAACTGTTAAAAATTGCACAGTGACCACCATACATATAAATAAAAACAAACTTATTAAAAAATAAAAGCAATATCGCAAAATCAAATCGAAAGTAAATTATGATAACGATTTTACAATGACAAAAACTAATTTACAAAACCCATGCAACTTAATATCATGATCAAAATACAAAATCAATTTGTTTAAAAATAAATGTAAAATAAATATTTATCTCGATACCTTAGTTGCTTCCAAATGTAGACCAAAAAAGCAAATGCATTTGGGTAGGTCAGACGGAATATTTAAAATAGAGCGCTTTTGGATCATAAAGATCATAATAAAAATCAAAAATATCACAGACCATGATAAGTTATAAATAATGTGATTACCTTTTAAAATGAATATAATTTAAATTCTGAATCTATCGATTAATTAGAATCCAAGGTAAACAAGAGTTTATTTTTTAAAATAATTACACAAATGTATCTACTCACACTTGTTGCTAACTGCATACTAGAAGTAAATTTGGGCTATAGTTCGAAAGTTTTATACTAGATATGTTTATATGTTTAAACGGCAAAGAAAACCGAAAAAATGTAGAAGAGTTAAGAAAAAAACAAGGAATTAAATAACTAACCCAGATATAATAATTATAAGCAAATTCCTACACGTTT